AGGGTTTAGCTCCTCATTTGGAGACTAAACATGTTATTAAAATATAAGAAATGCTATTCTAAACTAAGCTTAGGAGTATGCGAGAAGGGATTCTTTTTAGAGAAGAAAAAGTGTGCAATTTATAGGTGTTTTTCAACACCTTTGGCCGGGTACCCGGCCGGGTCAAGTACATACCCGACCGGGTCCGGTCAAAATCAGATAATCCGCCACGTTCTGGTGATCTTCGCACGTCGTTTTGTCCCGGGTCACATCTGACCCGACCGGGTCAAGTAGGGGACCCGACCGGGTCCAGTGACTTTCTTGGCAATTTCGTTTGTTAAATCCTACCCGACCGGGTGGGGGTTTCTACCCGGTCGGGTTTCACTCCTGGGCAGTCAAATTTCTTGTTTTCTTCTCTTCAAAGCCTTCCTTTCCAACACCACAAATCCTAACTATACTTTACAAATTATAAATAAAGAATAAAATACAATTACAACTGAAATTACATAAATATTTACAAACTAAATAAAATGTCAAACAATCAACATAAATCAAACATAAAAACATGCAATTATGCACTACTAATTAGTGTGCATCACATACACATAGATGAGAAGTGGTTCTATTTATCAAAAGAAGAAACCACTTCTCATCTATTTGTATGTGATCATAAAAGTGCAAGATTCTCCTGAGGCAACCACTGATCTCCAAACGAGAAGTTAGACACAGTGAAATTACCCGATCGGGTACCGTGTATATACCCGATCGGGTACCCGAGCTGCATCCCAAGAGCCTATAAATACACCCCCTTTCCTTCACAATTAGATATCCAATTTCCTATATACTTCTAAGCTCAGTCTAGAATAGTTCTCTCTTTATATTTTCATCATGTTTAGTCTCCAAATGAGGAGCTAAACTCTTCCATCTTGGTTTTGCTACTTTGAAGCTTAATGAATTTGTAAGTTGTGAGTTATTTTCTTTAATCTTCTTCCTTGAATATTAATTCTTCCTTTAAAATACTATTTCTATATCAAAGTTGGGGAGTGTTACTAAGATGACAATTAGTTAACTTCTTGACATTGGTTATAGTAATAGTTATTTCTTCCTCTATGTTAATATTGGGGAGTGTTACTAAGATGACAATTAGTTAACATCTTGATATTAACTATAGTAGGATTCATATTCTTTAATATTCTTCCTTGAGTATTAATTAATTCCTATTCATATTTCATGTTAATATTTTCAACATTACTTAAAGGATTAACTAGTTTTGTTTCATATATTAATTATTACTAAAATCAATCGATTAATACGCTTGTTATTAATTCGATTCATTCAACGGTAGTAAACTTGGATTATTAATGCATGCATCTCATGGTTAATACATCAAGGGGAATTAATTATATTGATTAAACCAATAAACCGCTTGTGTTGAGGTTATCAATCTCAATCGTTTTATCTTAAGCTTATTGCTACTATCGAATTAATATACGGCGCTTGTTCTATATTGACTCGATAGTAAATTTTATTAATGAACGCATCTCGTTATTAATAACTACCCTCGATGAACTGGATATACTCCTTGATTGAGTATTCGAGAGGAAGATAGTTAAAGATATATCCGGGATCGACGAACATTTCATTAAGTGGATAAAAGCAAAACCAAGTTTTCATCTCTATTAAAGTAAATCACATAAGTCGTTCATCTTAGTGTTTAAATACATTGTTAATCATCCAATCAAAACCCCCCTTTGTTACTATTCATATAAAAGAAAAGTATTCCTTTCCCTGTGGATACGAACCTTACCATGCTATACTACGTATTAGTGTTGTATTGTATTTATTATTTTGAGTGCACCTCACGACAAGTGCACGTCAATGGCAGACCTCATATTTATGGTAATGATGCAGATTTTGTGAGGAATGCAACAGAAGGTGGATGAGATAACCAACTTACATGTCAACCACCAAACAGTTCAGACCTTAATGTGTTAGAGTTAGGTTTTTTCAGGGCAATTGACTCTATTAAAGAACAGAAGGCACCAACAAGTATATTGAAGTTAATAAATGCAGTTATCACATCATTTGAAAAGCTTACACCCAATACATTCAACAAGGTGTTCCTAAGCTTTCAATATGTAATGGAAGAGGTGTTAAGGCATAACGGAAGCAACAATTTCAAGCTAAAGCATGTAGGGAATGACGGATTACAAAGGCTGGGTTAATTACCCAAAAATGTGGAAATTTGTCCAGAACTGTATGACACGGCAAGGGCGATTTGGCATCACACTTGCTAACTACCACATCACAACCTGCAACTCAAGAGAATGAGTTCATAGGTGAAGATGCATAGCATCTTTACGGATGAACTGTGAAGTTGTAGGCAACTTTAGTTTTTGTTTATAGTGCACTTTTTTGCTAGCATGTACATGTGCACTTTTTTGCTAGTATGTACATGTGCACTTTTTGTTGCACTTAAGGTATATCAAGAACCAGTGCAATATTTTTGCAAGTCAAACCATTTTGGAAACTACCAAACAATAATACAAAGATTTTACTAGCCACTAAGCCCCAATGTCATCATTAGTTTCATCATAGACATCCCCAATGTCATCATTAGGACATGGGATGTAGCTAGTTTTACTAAACCTTGGGTCTGTTTGGTGACAGCTGCAACGGCTGGAAAGACTGAAATGAAACTGTTTGGTAATATTGTGACTGGAATGGCTGATTGAATGTAAAATTACCAAAAGGGTATTAACTTGTTTCAATTATAAAGGAGATACATATTGTCTCGGTTCCAGAGAGTTGGAAGATTATTCGTGAGAAACAAAGGGCAATACGTTGGACTATGTTAAAGGAGGACATCACACAAGGAGCATAAGTAATATTAGACCTGTTGGATTACAAAACATATTTAAGAACTTTTCACAATAAATCGATTTACGAACAATCAGAGAGGAACAAAACCGTATTAATCATATCATATATGTAGGGAACAACTGAGGAGCTAGGAACATGGGTATGGAAAAAAGAAGAAAAGCAAAGAGATCATTTTAGAAGAAAGTGAAGCAATCTAGGAAGAAGTCGACGATGTATTCTAACACAAGGATAAAATGGTCTTCCAATTAGCCAACGGTAAAATAACCCATTTCAGCTCAAAAAGTAACCATTTACTTACTTTTTGTGCTGATAAGAATAATCAGCCAAAGTAGCTCATTTAGTGGGGGTGTGGCATTTTTTTCAACTTTTAGGCTTATAAGCCCATATTTTGTCTTCCAAACGGCCACCTTATCTTTTATGTAAATCAAATCACCAAATTGGTTGATTAAGTGTATATACGAATGATTTCGACTTTATATATTCAATAAAAAGATTCCGTTTATAATTGTGAAAAAATGACCTCAATATTACTAATGAGCTTTCCATTTCCAAAAATATGACTTATTTTTCTTTTTCCTAAAATATGACTTGAACTCTTTCTGTAACCCAGCCCATTCCGATATCGCAGACCTCCTTCATACCAGCTCCCATCTCCACTGCGCAATCGTCCTCCATCGCAGCTCCCCAGCACCTTCGAATCCTCCATGGCTCCTCGATTGCAAGCGGCATCGACCGGCAACGATGATCGAGACATCATCCTCAGCTCGACGGCGCCGCTGGTTACGACTTCCTCGATGGCCGCCATCCCCGGTTCAAACTTCCTCGATGGCCGCCATCCCCGGTTCAAACTTCCTCGATGGCCGCCGTTGGTTGAGTCATCATCGATGACCATCGCCACTGCTGGATTCGTCATCCTCAATAGATCTATGACGGCGGCTATGGTTATCAGTTGTGCAGTGATGGATGCTAAGGGTGACGAGAGGCGACAACAGTGGCCTGGCCGTGACGGGCTCGCGATTGTGTGGGTGTAGTGGTGTTTGAGACAGTTAGGGGTGGGATGTCGCGCGATGCGGTTGTGCAAGGGTTGGTCGGGGTGGTGGCCGTTATGAGGGGTGGGGTGCTGACTAGGGAGTGGGTGACGCATGGGAGGGTTTGGGTGACGCAGGGGAGGGGCTGGGGTTGGTGTATGAGAGGGTTTGGGATTGGCAGCCAGCAGCCCAACAGTGGCGGTAGGTGATGGTGGGAGGTGGTGGTTTCCGGCGTGGACGTCGGTGATGGAGTTGGACGAGCAGTCACTGTGACCGGCAGGCTGGCAGTCATTGTGGTAGGTGGGTGGGCAGTCACTATGGCCGGTGGACGAGCAGTCACGGTGGCCGAAGTCACGGTGACCAGTGGGACAGCCACTGTGGCAGTTGGGACAATCACTGTGACCGATGAGGCAGTCACTATGGCGGCGTAGTCAGTTTGCACTCCAGGGTTAATTGTGATGTTGGTCAATTTTTTGTCTTTTATCTTATTCTTCATCCACCTCAATGTAAAATTCTCGTAAACTATTCACTTAGGTAACTAATTAAGATATATCTTTAACTTGAATTTAATAGAATAGATTTTTAATTATCACTTTGGAATTCAATTTTATTTTATACTTCCTCCATTTATTAATAGTTGCAACACTTTTATTCATAGTTGCAACACTTTGATTTTACATTATTCACGCACTTTATTTAGACCAAGATTTTCTATTAATGTATTTTATCAAACAACTATATACACAATATAAAATATTACTCCCTCCGTCCTAAAAAGATTGATACATTTTGACTTTTCTTGGTCAATGATGGTTAAATTCGAGCAATGATATCTTTTAATACAAAATTATTTAAAATATGAAAATTATATGAACATATTCTTTATTAAAAAATCTTACATAAAAGTATAAAATTTATAAATTACAAACAAATATAATACATAAAATCATTGTCTAAACTTTACCACCATTGAACAAGAAAAGTCAAAATGTATCAAACTTTTTGGGACGAAGGTAGTATTAAATTTCTCTTAAAGTGAATTTTCAAAATATGATTTTTTTTTAAATGTTTAATACATAATTAAATATAATTATAGTCGAAATTGTGTGTCAAGCATGAAAGCCAAAATGTTGCAATTAAAAAGAACAAAAGTAGTACTTAAATTGAATAGAACTATGAACTTCCGTTAGAGTTTTCTAATAAATAAATTTTTAAAGAGTATCATAAAAAATTAATTATGAATAATTATTAGAAAAAATTTATGAGTTTATCACTTGATGACTTGAATATCATAAAACAAAAAAACAATAACTCTAGATTTATGTATAAAAATTAGAACTACTTGGATCATATGCATGAGGCATGAGCTACACCTTCCACATAGGTCAACAAGGATAAAAAGTTGCTTTCAAAAAAGCGTTTGGCTACTTCTCAATTCTAACCGACACTTCCATTGTCTGATCCATCAACGCCGGAGGGGTGTTTACCGGCTGAGAACCGGCAGAAGGAATTGCCTCCGCCCTGCAGTGGATGAGATGACTCGGGCTTTTCACGAGCAGGATCCGGGCTCTGCAAAGAGGGCAGTTGGCGTGGGCCCGGAACCACCTCTCAATACACTCCGCGTGGAAGCAGTGCTCACATCCGGGTAAAACCCGACCCGTCTCACCATCTCTGAGCTCCGACAAACAAACGGAGCATTCCGCCGGCGTGCCGTTATTAGTCCATTTGGAGGACGAACAAAGATGGGGAAAAGTTTGAAGTGTTTCATGTAAAGATGGGTCGGGCCCAATAGGGGCAGAAATCGCAGAACCGGATGCTTCCCGGACACCACTGCGACGGTGGTCGGGGCGGAGACCACGGTGGCAGGAGGTCCGCCGGAGAAACAGACGGAAGAAAGCGAAGAAAAGGCAAACGACTGCAAGAACGACGACGATGATTAACGTGAGCTTTCCGGTGTACGCGAAGTTTGAGCATGTGGAAAGTTTTCTTAGTGGGACAGAAGTTGATGATGAGTTCTCAGCCATGGATTCCGATCATTAATTAGCTTTCTTCCTTTGAATTTTGAAGTAGTAATTTACGTGTATGGGGTTACAAGCTGGTAATAACAAGTGTGTGGGTATATGCATGACATGGCCGGCGATACTTATCTGTGAAAATTTTCGATAAAAACTATGGGCTATGGCAGTTGCAGATAATTTGCAGCCTTAAGGAAGGAGGGTAGGAAGTTTCGTAATAAGGGAGTAAAAGATTAAAAAAGATTTGCCCCCGCCCCCACGTCCCTCTTTATATTAGAATATTCATAAAAAGTGTGATCCATGTTACTAACAAAACTTGTTGAGTAAATTCTCAAAATGGGACCAAAACTTAGGAAAAATGTCACAACACGACTACTTTTTTCCGTGTATTATTGTAGGACCAAAACTAGGTTGGAATGTCAAAAATGCCCTGTAAAGCCTTTCAGAATGAGTTCGCAAGCTGCAAACTCTGCGATGAATATCGGCTGCGATGAACGGTGACCCTGCTACATGCCCAGGTGAGCTTCTTCTTCTTCTCATGCTGTGTTTTTCTCTTCTTCCACATTTCATCCCTTTTCTTCTTCTTTGAATTTTCATTTTGTTATTAATTTTGATTATCTTACTTTAAACCATGTTTATTATTTTTGTCATGATTTGAATTTGAAAATGCCATAATAGGTATTTTATTGAACACTAACCTCAAAATAATGTCATTGTTGTGGCATTAGAATATTTATCAACATGACACTTTTACTCTACAGGTTAATTACATTTTCAGAGTAAAATTGACAGTTTCAAAGAGTAATATAGACAATTTGATGACAATTTCAGAACAAACATGACATTTTTAAAAGGTGAAGAAGGATGAGCTCAGGTTTTTAGGTCTTAAATGTCATCTTCATGAAATTTCATGTCATTTTTAAAAAGGTGAAGGAGGAGCGAATGTGAGTTTTTACGTCTGTAAATGCCATCTTCATGACATTTCATGTCATTCTTAAAGAGGTGAAGAAGGAGGAGCGTCTGTCATGTTTTTTGAGAACCAAAATGACATTTTTTAAAAACAAAAACACTGGAAGCAGAGCAGGCAGTAGAAGAAGAAGAAACTATAGAAGTAGGAAGAGCACTATGAAGAACACCTGAAATTCTGAAATTAGTGTTGGTGCGCCATTATTAAAATTTGAAAGATGAATGTTCCGATCAGATCAAAGAGGAAGAGAAAAGATGAAGGAGTGGAAGATATGTTTCCAATTAAATCAGAAAAGGGAGAAGATGAGCGTGAAATTTATGGAAAAAAAGAAACACAGATGAAGTGAGGAGATGAATTACCTGGGAATTGCGGAAGAAGAAGAAGATGCAGATGCAGGGATAAAAGATACGAGCAGGACAGAGCCCAGGGCTTTATCGACATTACAGAAACGACGACGACTCAAAATAGGAGCGGATGACTCCTATAATGGGAAAAAACATGGTAAGTCATAGTTTGGTTTCTTGTCTATGTTTTGATCCTATTTAGGGTAATTTTTTCAAACTTGTTCTATAAGATACTCCTTCACACTAGTCAGAGATCACTTTTTTGGTATCATGTCTGTCCCAAGCCAAGATAAAGGAGGAGGGTGTTATGGTAGACGCGTGACGGTCAACAACATCATTTAGTCACATCACATGACATGAATCGAAATATGAATATCGCTACATGTTTATGTTATTGTTATCTTATACTACCTCTGTCCAAAAAAGATTGATACAGTTTGACTTTTCTCGGTCAATGATGGTAAAGTTTAGACAAAGAAAAATCATTGTCAAGATGGGGGAAAGTTTGAACTTTACCACCATTGACCAAGAAAAGTCAAAATGTATCAATCTTTTTTGGATGGATGTAGTATAAAATAACAATAACATAAACATATAGTGATATTCATATTTAATTCATGTAATGTGATGTGACTAAATGATACACTTGACCGTCACGCGCCTACCATAACACCCCCTCCTTTATCCTGACTTGGGACAGACATGATACAAAAAAATGATCTCGGACTAGTGTGAAGGAGTATCTGTTAATCCCAGAATTCTAACAATCATACAACCATAGCATTGATAAAGAAGCAGATAGAAAGAAATCGACAAGATTGAACGCGAATCTGATATACCGTATGAATCTGCCGCTACTCTCCCTGGAGAAGGAGAGCAGCGGCAACCTAATTTCTCTCTATCTCTACGCCTCTGCGTCTCAGCCTCTCACGATTGATTAGGTTCCCGTAAGTTAGCCTCCTTTTATAGGAGAAGTTGGCTAACTTACGGGTTACAAGGAAGCCCACGGGCTGATACACATTTGTGGCCCGTATTACACGATTAATTAATAACTACACAAATACAAAGATAACTAACTAGATTGAACACCATAAAATATTCCCAACAATCTCCCCCTTGGTGATCAATCGTGTTGAATCATCATTGCAGCGCAGATATCTTTGTCTTTGTTGTTATTGAGCTTCCTTTGTCTTTGAACTTGACTTCTGAGGAAGGCTATCTGAAGAAATCCTTTCAATCTCCCCTTTGATGTCTTCTTGACAATTTGATCTTTGATGCCGAGGGTTGAGGGACCTTCAGTATCTTGCATGTAGTCCTTGCCTTCCAGAAGTTGCTCTTGATCAGCTTGGATGAAGTCCGGTGACGCCTCTAGAATGAATATTCTTTGGAGAATAGGAGACGCCCATGGAATTCATCTTCAGGACACGAGTATTTGACCTCTGTCTCCTCCACAATGTAGTCTTTTTGACTATTTGGAATGAATGCATTTGAGGAGAACTTGTCGGTGGCACAGCGGAACATAATGATGGTAGGTTTGTGAGTGTAGCTGACCATTTGATTTGAGTTGCGGAGATAGTAGAGAGGGTGTTGATGATGGAGGAGTGAAGTGTCCCAGAATGATTTGTTCAGTGTTAACAGCATGTGGACCACTCTCCCCCTCATGACGATCCGATGAATCGGGACGTCATGCTTTTATTCTTTTATTCTGCGGAAATAAAAACATGAAAAACAAGCAGAATCTAAAGAAGATAACGTAGCCCCCCGGGGTCGTGAAGACGCCCGTTATCATCACTATAGAGATAAACTCTAAAGCAATGGCCTGACAATGTTGGTGACTCTTATGTTGCAACAGCAGGACTTCCTTCCAATTATTGGTCTACATCTGTAATAGATGAGCCCTATGGAAGTTCTCGCAAGTCTTGAAGACTAGCAACTGACTCTAAAATGTGTCTGTGTCCTAGAAAATTTCAAAACATTTGGGAAGCGAGTAACTAGACACGACGTGATTAATGAAAATTCAGTGGCATGTGGCTGAGGCCACTGTAGTCAGTATTACTTGCCTCGGAAGGAGACAGTAATGAGAGATGCGGTCCCCCGTGAACTATGATTAAACACCTGTCTGTTGGGAGACAAGTGAGTGGTCTAGGGTAGGGTTGTGCATGCGCCGTTTGGACAAAATGCAGCGACTTCTACCCGGGATCTGAATAAATTCAGTCCTGAACCTATGGGGATAGTCCAGAGTATTTTAGTGGCTAGGAGCAAATGTTCAATTCATAGCAGGCAATTGAGGTAGCAGACTCATCATTGATAATTGTTTTTCTTCTCACTTGAGCCTTCTGCTTCCTAATGCTCATAATGTTCACTCACTCACTCGCTCACTCACGCACTTACGCTCGGCTTTGTCCCTTGGGTAGGCTTAGTTGGGTTTACTAAGCCATAGGGACATGTTCTCTCATTACTTTCTCGTTTTCTCTCTGTACTCCCCCTCAACTGGAGCACTCGGTATGCTTTGTCATTGTTAGGCACCAGGGAGGATAACATTGAATACTCCCCCTAAAATGTTGCATCCTTTGAGAGATTCCTTGCTTTGTCGGTGTAAGGCGCCAGGAGGAGAAAACTGAAACTCCCCCTCAGAATGTGCAAGGTTTGATTGCTCACAGCTTATCATACCCGCCATGTGTGTGGAGCAATCTGAACACGTACCACACATGACGGTTTCCTGAGCTCACCATGTAGAATTTCAGCATATTGATGATCACATAATGTTGATGAGTCAGGGGAGGCTTCAGCAGTTGATTGTTGATTGTTGTAAGGTGACCGTTGACGCGATGTTGATTGAATTATCTACGGTTTTCAGACCTTTACATTGAAGTTTAGAAAAGTTTTGACCTCAGGGTTGACAATGAAAGAATTTGAACAGATTTGCCTGAGTTTTGACCTGGACATCGGTGATTTACAATGTTTGTCGGAAAACTAACGTTTTGACCCTCAAAGACTGCAAGTGAGGGCGCGTGAGAATGTGTTCTGGGACGTAGCCCCAGAATTAATGTAGATCTTCTCGTTAGCTTTCCAACAAAAAAAAGTTTGCTCAAATCGGATCACCGAGTCAAAAGTTATGGCCAAAACAGTGCGGTGTCGCAGAAAATCTCTAATTTTGAGTTTTTGAGGAATTTCTTCGAAGATGAGGTGCTCGATGTTGAATGTCGAGAGCAGGTGGATTTTAAACAAAATTCTAGAGATTGCCTCGAAGAATAATGGCCAAATCCACCTGCAAAACAAACCTCAGAATATCGAAATCTGCAGAATTTCAAAATGTTTGAACATCGAAAACTTTGGAGTTTCGAAAACCTCATAATCTCGAAAACTTGCTGTTTGAAAAACATCAGAACATCGAAAACTCATGAAACATATATAAGCAGGGAATCATTTAGAGATCCTTATAATGTAAAGCTTCGATGAACTGCAAAGGATGTCAAGATTCGAATTATGAGTTCCAAGAAACTGCAAACTTTGAAAGATTCAAAACATCGAGAAATTTTGAAAATCTCGAAATCTTCAGAATGTCGAGATCCAAAACATCGAGATCCCAAATGTCGAAACCCCAAAACTCGAAATTCTAAAACTCGAAATTCCAAATCTCGAGATTACAAATCTCGAGATCCAAATCTCGAGATCATGATTTCGAGATTCAAATCTCGAGATCTTGATTTCGAGATTCAAATCTCGAGATCAAGATGTCGAGATGCAAATCTCGAAATCAAGATTTCGAGATTCAAATCTCGAGATCAAGATGTCGAGATGCAAATCTCGAGATCTTGATGTCGAGATGCAAATCTCGAGATC